AGTGTGCTGTCACAGTATAGGGAGAGCAACTAGGGTCACATAGCAATGTGTGTATAAATTTTTGTATGAGAAACTGACTTGAACTGTAAACTTTCACTTAAAGCACAATTAAAAAAAATATTTTGAGCACTCAAATCACAGAATTGTTAACATGTTCATATTAGGCTAATTTCTTTCAGTTATTAGTTTGCTGGTGCTGCTGTAACAGAAACACCACAAGTGGGTGGTTTTAAAGAACAGAAATTTGTTTTCTCACAGTTTAAACCAAACCCATTGCCACTGAGTTGATTCTGACTCATAGTGACCCTATACGACAGAGTAGAACTGCCCCATACAGTTTCCAGGGAGCGGCAGGTAAATTCAAACTGCTGACCTTTTGGTTAGCAGCCAAGCTCTTAACCACTGCGTCACCAGGGCGCCTTCTCACAGTTCTGGAGAGTAGAAGTCTGAATTCAGGGCACTGGTCTAGGGGAAGCCTCTTTCCGTCCTTTGCAGGGGGAAGATCTCTTTCAGCTTCTGTGGAGGAGGCATTCCTCTATTCCTTTGTGAACTCCACATGGCGTGTATGTTCCCTTCTCTTTGTGTTTGCTTATTTCTGTGCCCAGTCTATTCTTTCTATATATCAAACGTGATTAGGTTTAAGACACATGCTACACGCATATGGCCCCATTAACATAACAAAGAAAACCCTGTTCCAAGTGGGGGATTACATCCACAGGTATAGGGGTTAGGATTCCAGCATATATTTTGGGAGGACACAGTTCAATCCGTAACAGCTATCCTGAAAAAAAAAAAAAGAAGGATTTTAGTACAAAAAATTGTTACCACCTGGTGCAAAAAATACACAGATTTGACTATGGCTTTAGATGTCTTTGTTCCCAAATGTGTCCAAACTTTTGTTTGAGAAGAATGTTTAGAAGCTTTTTTTCTTGGTATCAGAAACCCTCACTAGGGTAGAGATTATTGGTAATTCTAGGAGCCATAGCGAGAAGCAGTGGGGTCCATCAGACCAAGGAAGGACTAGGAAGAAACTAAAAACTTTTTAAGAAAAAAACATTTCAATGTTCAGTGTTAGTAAGTGGTTTGAATCTGGTCGTCATCTTAGTTTATCCTGTTAGTTGGGCAAGTATCAACTACCAGCATTTCTCACTTGTGCCTAAAACCATATGCTAAAAGACGAAAGATGTATTTCATTGTGTAAAAAAAAAAGCCCTCCTCAATAGAATAATCAGTTTTTATCTGTGCAGCGTTGGCTACCGACTTGTTATTTTTAAGCCAGTAGAAACCGATACTCCTTTGACCAGAGAATTCCTCTCCAAATATTTTTGAAAGACTAGGTGCCCTTCACAAAAACAGCATTTTACTTCACAAGGGAAAATCAACTTGCAAGATTATTAAGCCTAGTGATTAGTTTCGGTTTTTTAACCCTCTACTGCCTTTGGTACTCTTAATTTTTAAAATTGCTAATGACAGATACTGTAAGGAATGCTTATAATTCTGAGATTATTGCTTGCCATCTTTACTCCACACAGAAGGAGTATGTGGATTAAACACTGAGGCAGCTCCAAAATAACTGTATTAACTGAAGCAGAACATTATTATTACTTGAAAGAAAAAAAAAAATCCCTAAAAGTACAAAGCTATTTATAGTTTTTATGTAACATTGTCCATTTAGTAATGTACTTAGTGGGCTTTGTGCAGTGACTTTCCACTCATCTCATGGTTTGATAGGAGTGTCACGAAGCTTTGACTAACTCTGACAGTTCTTGACAGTTGGCACTTAATGGAAGAAGAGTTTATTACGTTTTTCCTTCAGGATTGATACTCTAGCTGACTAATTGGTAAGAGTACTTAATCATTTTAGAAAATAATCTGTCTTCCATGTGATGGCCCAAATAAAGGAGAAAAATGTAGCCTGCGAAATCTGCCTCTGCCTTCACAGATGTCCCCATTCTAGAACCCATTGTTACCAACTGCTGCATGGAATCAACAGTATAAACTGTCAATTTCAAAAGGCCACTGCTTATCTTGCTTTCTGTATTCGGTCAGGAAATAATCCAACTTTAAAGGTTGTCCTGAAAGGAATCTTATAACAGGATAATGTATTGTCTGTTATAAATGTATTAACTGAGTCCAAGATTATGTGTGTCATGGTTTAAATTGTGTCCCCCAAAAATATGTGTTGTAAATCCTAACCTCCATGCCTGTGGTTATAAACCCATTTGGGAATGGATTGTCTTTGTTATGTTAATGAGGCAGGATTAGCGTAGTGTGTATCTTGACTCAGTCTCTTGAGAAATAAAAGAGATTAAACAAGCAAGCAAGAGAGCAAAGATGGGGTAAGATAGATGCCAAGACACGTGGAAATCTGTAAGGAACCAGGAAGCAGAAGCTGAAGAAACAAGGACCTTCCTCCAGAGCCGACAGAGAAAGAAAGCCTTCCCCTAGAGCCAGCACCCTGAATTTGGACTTCTAGCCTCCTAAACTGTGAGAATATAAATTCCTGTTTGTTAAAGCCACCCACTCGTGGTATTTCTGTTATAGCAGCACTAGATAACTAAGACAGGTGTGTTTTCCAGATCCAGAGAGTATACTAGCAGGGTGTTCAAAGGCATGTGGAAATCAAGTCAAACCTCAGGAAATGGCAGAACACCTCCTTTCTTCTTTGGAATAATACTTTCTATCATGTTGCTTTAATTCAGTGAGGAGCAATAACAAGAGAAGCCATTTCATTGAACTATCAATTAGCTCCAAACGTATTATCCTGCCTAATTAGTTTATATAATGTATATATAAAGTTCTTGGAAAATTTTAAGCTCTGTGCATTTTCCAAGTATGTTTCTTAAGTTTTTAAGCTAACATGATACAGAGCACTTTTTGGTAATTTGAAGAAAATAAGTGGCTGAATATGTTGCTCAAATATACACACTCTCTGTGTGGTGTATATATATATACACATACAATATAAATATATGCAGAATTCTTAACTGAATTAAAAACATGCACGAATAGATAATTTGCCAAAGCTACCTTTACAAAGGCAAGATCAAAATTTGTATTAAAAAATGACTTTGTAGGAGCTGTGTGTCTTCTAGAAACCTCCTTGTCTTACCCAGACATTCATCAGCATGAGTCACTAATGAGTATGAATAAAAAACTTGTTTCTACAAAGGGTTCCGGGCACTTCCATGATTACTCTTGCTTTGTACGAAGGAGTGTTCAGCCCTAGGGAGTGGGTGAGATAGCACCTTGATGATTAACTTTCCTTGAACTTGGTTATGTCAATAACTTCTCCATTGTTGCAGTGAAGGTGAGATCTAGATTATACATACAACAAGTCCTCCTTTTTAGACAACCCATGGCAACCAGGAGGGAAATAAAGTTGCTCCCTTGTTAATTATATCATTATCCCCCTGTGCTTACCAGCCGAGCTGCTTGGTGTGTGGCAGCCAGGCATGCGGTGAGTGCCGTGTCTGGGAAAGAGAGGGATCGGTAGAAGTTATCTGTGTATTTTCAATCTTTGATATTTCTGCCTTAAGATGGTCTCAAAAGAAGGAAGTTGGCTATAACTATTGTTTAGTCCCACCGCATCC